ACCTGATAGAAGTTTATAAAATAATGAGAGGTATAGATAGAGTTAATGGTAGTTGTCTTTTCCCTAAGATAGGGAATTTCAAGACTAGGGGCACATTTTTCAGGTAAGCAGACAGAGATTTAAAAAAGACATGAGACATTTTTTTTTTTTTAAAAGAGATGTTGGTTCGCTTGTGGAATGAACTTCCTGATAAAGTGGTGGATGTGGACACAATTACAACATTTAAAAGACATTTGAATGGATATATGAATAGGAAAGGTTTGCAGGGATATGGGCAGGAGTAGGTTGGTGGAACTAGCCTAATTTGGGATTATGTTCGACATGGACTGAAGGGTCTGTTTCCATGCTGTAAGACTCTATGACAGGCCCAGTACAGGTGAGGTCAGAGTGCTGTACGGATGTAAGGTAGTTATCCTGGGAGGCCTCCACACTGACTCCAGACCCCATTAAGTTTCATGGCATCAGGTCAAACATTGCAAGGAAGGTTCCTGCTGGCGACTATCTACCCACTGCAACCCCCAGACAAATGAATCAGTCCATATCCTTGTTGAATACCAGCTGAGAAAAGTACTAAGAATGACAAGACAACAGAGTGGGGAACACTGGGTGGGGAATTTCAATGTGCACCTAAAACAGTGGCTCAGCATCAGCATTACTGATCTGGCCGGTCGAGTCCTCAGTGACACTGGTAGGACCCTGGGAAGCACCGAGGATCAGATGGAGCTTGGTGTGCTTATCCACTGGTCCCTTAACGTTTTAAGGTAGGTAAAAGACATAGTCAAAACACAGATTTAAGAACAGGCAGATTAAACTGGCTTCCAGCATCCGAAGTTCTTTTGGTTTTAGGTTAAGCTGGAACTGTATAAAATGTTAGTTACTCCACAACTATAACATTGTGCACAGTCTGGAATCTACATTATATGCGGGATATGATAACACTGGAGAGGGTGCAGAGGAGTTTTATCAGGATGCCTGGATGGGAGTAAGTAACGTAGAGAGATTGGACAGACTGGGATCATCTTCCTTAGATCAAAAGAGATTGAGAAGGGATATGATTGAGATGTATAAAATGATGAAGGGGCATAGACAGGAAGAAACCTTTCCTCATGACAGAGAGATCAATGATCGGAGCATAGATTTACGCTAAGGGGTAGAATGGTTAAAGGAGGATGTGAGAAATTTTCTTTTCACCCAGACAGTGGTGGGAATCTGGAATCCCTGCCTGTAAGGGTGCTAGAGGTAGAAACCCTCAAATCATTTAAGACACATTTAGATGTGCACTTGCAATGCCAAGGCTTACAAGGCTATGAGCAAAGTGTTGAAAATGGAATTAGAATAGCTTAAGTGGTCGTTTTTGACTAACAGTGGAAATGATGGGGCTTTTTCCGTGCTGTAGATCTCTATGACTGCTCGACTGGGTCTGTAGCAGGTCAGGAAAGAATGAACAAGAGGGAAAAGTATCTAACCTAATCGTCGCCAATCCGTATCTCGGTCCACAACAGTACAGGTCAGAGTGACCACCACACAATCTTTGTGAAAGAAGAATCTGGAAGACCCTCCATTGTGCTGTGCATTACTTCACAGTGCTGAATGGGATACATCTCGGACAGATCTAGCAACTGAAGACACGGTCTCAGAAGAACTGTAGTCACCCACAATTTGCAACCTCAAGGCCTGATAAATCCCTCCCTCTACTATTATCATCAAGGTAGAGGATCAAGCCTGGTTCAATGAAGAGTACAGGACGGCATGCCAGGAGCAGTTCAAGTATAAGAATTTCAGCCACAAGTGCCAATGGATGATCCATTCCGGCCTCCGCCAGCATCACAGATGTCAGTTTTCAGCCAGTTAAATTCACTTCATATGATATCAAGAAACGATTGAAGGCACGAGACATTCTAACAATAATACAAAGTCTTATATTCGAGAACCTGCTGCATTCCTATTCCAAAGAACAGTACGGTACAGTACAGGAATAGGCCCTTTGGCCCACCAAGTCTGCACTGACACACAGAACCACAGAAATGATACATCATAGAAGGGGGCCATTCAGCCCATCAAGTCCATGCCAACCCAAAGACACCTAGATGCCCTTTCTAATCCAATCTTGCTGCACGATGCCCACAGCCCTGCAGCTTAAGCACTTCAGGTACAGATCTAGGTACTTTATGAAAGAGTTTAGGGTCTCTGCCTCTACCACAAATTGAAGCAGCGAATTCCAGGTACCCGCCACCCTCTCAAATTTTATACAGCTCAATCATGTCAACTCCTCAGCCTTCTCCATTTCAAGGCAAACACCACCAACCTCTCCAATGCACCAGTCCTGCCAATATTTTAGTCAATCTTCTCTGCATTGTCTCCAGGGTAATTATGTCCTTCCTGTAATACAGTGACCAGAAATGCACACAATATTCCAGTTGTGGCCTCACCAGTGCCTTATCCAATTTCATCATTATATCCCTACTTTTGTACTCCAGATCTCTACCAACAAAGGGGAGCATTCCACATACCTTCTTTATAACCTTACCTAACTGTCGTGCTATCGTTAGGGACCTTTGCACTTGCACACCAAGATCTCTCACTTCACCAACCTTCTCAGTATATTCCTGTTTATCGTGTGTTCCCTTTTACTGTTTGGTCGCTCAAAATTCCTTACCTCACACTTATCAGAGCTGAACTCCATCTGCCTCTTTCCTGTCCACTCTACCTATATTATTTTGGAGCTACAGCTATCCTCTGCACTATCTACTATGTAACCAATTTGTGTTGCCTGCAAATTTCACAATTGTGGCAGTCACATTCAAGTCAAAATCTTTTATATATAAAACAAATAGCCAGGGTCCCAACACCAGGCCCAGCGGAACAACACTTAACACACCTTTCCATCTGCAAGGGCTGCCATCGGCCATAGACTGCCATGTGGGATCTTGTTAAATGCTTTACTAAAATCCATGTAGACAACATCCACTGCACTACCCTCATCAATCCTGCTTCTCACTTCCTCAAAGAATTCAATCAAATTTATAAGTCATGACCTTTTCTTCTCAAAGCCATGTTGACTATCCTTGACTAGTCCCTGCCTTCCTAAGTGACAGTTTATCTGATCTCTCAGGATTGATTCTAGCAATTTGCCCAACAATGAAGTAAGACCAACTGCCCTAATTATTTGGCATTTCCTTTGCACCCTTTTTAAACAATGGAACATTTACAGCCCTCCAGTTTTCTGACACCTCGCCTGTATCTACAGAAGTTGGAAAATAATCCTCAGAGCATCTGCTATTTCCTCCCTGACATCCTTCATAATCCTACGGAACAATTCATCTGGCCCTGGTGACTTATCCATTTTTAAGGATTCCGCCTCCTTTATCATTTCCCTTCTCATAATGACTATTTTGTCCAATATTTCAAACTGCTCCTCTTGGATTACTACATCTACATAATTCCAATTGTTTGGGTCTATGGGTATAAAAAAATTTTCATTTAAAATTTTTCCGATACCTTCTGCATCTTCACACACGTTCCCCTCTTCATCTCTGACAGGTCCCACTTTTGTCTGAACTGACCTTTTTTGTTCTTTCATATACTAGCAAACTATCTATCTTCGAGTTTTCCTTTATCTTGCTTGCTGATTTTTTTTGCACATCCTCTCTTTGATTTCCTTATTTTTTCTTTAACTAGATTAACATGATGTCTTTCTAAATGAAAAATTTTGCCTCCACAGGATCCATCGTTCCTTGCCATTCAATAGTGTTAACTCTGAATCCCCCACAATCCTGGGGATTACCATTGAGCAGAATTAGAACTGGACTAGCCATATAAATACAATGGCTACATTGCTAAGGCATTCTTAGCCCCTGGCAATATAGCAGATCAGAGGCTAGGAATACTGTGGCAAGTAACTCACCTCCTGTCTTTCCAAAGCCTGCCCACTCTCTACAAGTCAGGAGGACTGCAGCTCCAACAACACTCAAGAAGGTCGGGTCCATCTAGGACAAGGCAGCCCGTTTAATTGTCACCCTACCTTCAACATTCACTCCTTTTACTGCCAAGGCACAGTAGCAGTAGTGTATACCATCAACAAGGTGCACTGCAGAAACTCACCATGCCTCCTTCAACAGTAACTTCTAAACCTTCAACCTCTTACCATCTAAAAGGAGCAGGGCTGCAGATATATGGGAACATGACCAGCTGCAAGTTCCCCTCCAAGTCAGAGACCATTCTGACTTAGAAATAGGTCACGATTCTTTCAGTGTCATTTGCTCAAAATCCTGGAAGTCCCTCCTTATCAGCATTGTGTGGGCAGTCCTACACCCCAAGAACAGCAGCAATTCAAAAAGATGCTCATCATCTTCTCAAAGGGAATTAGAGATGGGCATTAAATGTTGGCCCAGTCAGTGACACCCATCTCCAGTGAAGTAAAAATAATACTAGTTTAAGTAGCACGTTTTGATACACTAGCTTTGTAGACTGTACAACAAGTCCAGCGTAGTACATGGGGTAAAAAGGTTCAAGTTCACAGTGTACAGATGAATTTTGTATTTCCTTGAGTAGAGGAGATTAAGGGATGATTTAATGGGGTAGTTTAACAAAGTTGCAAGGGTGATTGGGGAAAAAAAAACTATATCCTCTCATGGATGTGCTCATATCAAAAGGGCAAAATCTTCAGAGCTTGATTATTCAGTGTGATGTTCAACCACTTCATCAAACAAAGAAAGTTGAAATCTTAAAAACTGTCTGCAGAAGATTTGGTGGCTACACCATTTGAACATTTTGTTTGATAGTGTTATTCTTGCCTCAACCTAACTTAATGCATGGGAGTGCTTGGTACTGCACTTACTTACGTTAATACAAATTCATTTTGGAAATAAATGGAGCAGAAGTTACTGCAATGTTACAGTGCAGTGCCACAAATCTCAAAGTAATAAAATTACACAACTTGCACATTATATACAAACAGGCAGTAGAATTGTACCTGAAAACAATGGTAAAAGCAATTGTACCTGGCCTGGAACAACTGCTCTGGCAAACAGTTTATTCAGCTGTACCAGCTCATTAGGTGCAGTGTCAAATTTGAGCGCAATACTATTCAAAGAGTCCCTTGATTCAACCTGTTAAAGAACATAATTTGTTAAAGTCAAAATTCAGGAGTAACACTTTCATGTAAAAGCAGACAGACAGCAGCATATATTTTTTCTAGCTTGCTAGTTTGAACCCTTTTCAGCTGTCCACTACAGAAACATAGCTAATAATCTTTATCTGAAAATAACCAATTAGACGTAACAAAATGTATTACAACTTTAAGAAGTTGGGAGATCACATTTTTTGTTTGACAATTGCGACGATACTAATGGCTTTAAGAGGTGTATATTGTGTTTTTGTTCTTTTTATGAAGGATGAGACAGAGGTGCTGAGGGGTCTGCTTAAACCAAGTTTGAATAATAGAAGCAGCTGTACGGGTGGAGTCGAGTTTCCACTGTACTGGGATTTTTAAGTTTTAGTTATATGCAGTAGCTAGGGTCTAGAAGCTGGATATGGAAGCACTTATTCCTCTTTCTGTTAAAGATGAAAGCTGGGGATCTCTTCTCATTGTCTCACACGCAATTCCAGCAATCTGTTTTACTGAATTTGCCTTTGCCAAGGGTGCGGCCTTGGGATGTTATCTAATATTGGAACAGTAATTAATAGCAGTAGTGTGTGCTGAGTGTTAGTGTTTGCTTTTGGGGTATTGAATGCGGTTGGTTTAAATAGGGTGTGCCTTGTATAGTAATGGCTCTTTCAGTCACTATGTTTCCTGGGGGTGGAAGAAGTCACTTCGGGAGTTTTACAGGAAGTGAACAAGACAAAGCTGTTGGAGTTGGCAGACAAACTGGAGTTGCGGTTGCCTTTGACCTCGTGAAAAGGGCACGTAATTGTGGCAATAGCTCGCCATTTACGGTCGCCGGACTTGCCATCAGAATCTTTGGAAATGGCTAGAATTCAAATGCAAATGAAGCAACTTGAACCTGATATGAAAATGAGCCAGTTTGAATTATGATTGAAAGCAGAAGAAGAAAAGCAGAAAGAATAGCCTGGCAGAACAAAAAGAAAAGGAAAGGAAAACCCCAGCAGAAGAAAGGGAAAAAGAGAGACTTTTGAACTTCACGGGTCGGAAGTGAAAACTCACAAGTCGACTTAAGATGGCAGATGTAGTAGAAAAGGTAGGAGTAGTGATGAGGACAGCAATCCCATCATAGCCAATGGCCTAGTAGGGATCTGCTTAAACATGTCCAAGCATTGCCTAAGTTCAACAAGAACGATGTAGAAGCCTTTCACATTTCATTTGAGAAAGTGGCTAAACAAATGAAATGGCTGGTGACTATGTGGGTACTGCTGGATCCAAACAAAGTCAGTAGGTAGAGCTAGTGAGGTGTATATATCAGTATTAGAGGAAGTATCTAGAGTGTATGGACAAGTGAAGAAAGCCATCTTAAGTGCACATGAGCTAGAACCAGAAGCCTACAGAAGTTTTAGGAATCTAAGGAGGGAACCTGGTCAAATGTACGTTGAGTTTGAAAGGATCAAACAAGTAATTTCGACAGGTGGAAAAGGGCATTGAAAATAGATCAAAAATATGTCGCCCTTAGAAAGATGATTATTTTGAAGGAGTTCAAAAATTCACTTCCTGAAGTAGTGAGAACTCATGTGGAAGAGCTGAGTTAAGGCTGTAAGATTAGCAGCGGAAATGCCAGATGATTATGATTTAGGGAAAAAAGAGAAATCCTCAGGGAGTAAGGGAAAAGGAAATCTCACTGAAGATAATAAAGATCGTTTACCACAGGGTGAAAAGGAAACCCATGAGGAGGAAAGAGAAATAAAAATGCTCAGGTGTTTTACTGTAATAAAGTAGGCCACATGAAGCTGCAGCATTGTTGGTTGAGAAAAAGCAAAGGGAAGATGCATGTGGGAAAACAGGATAAGTCAGTGAGTTTTGTTGAAGTGGTAAGGGAAAGCACAGTGGAAGTTAAAAAGCTGCAAAAGAATGTACAACCTGATTAGGGGTTGGTTGAGAAGAAAATGCCAGATCTCGTTGAAGAACTTATTTGTGTGGGTAAGGTTTACTCATATATGCCAGGAGGAATAGGTAAAGAAATTAAGATTTTAAGAGATATGGGAGCATGTCAATTTTTGATGGTGAGACATAAGGAGATATGTAATTCAGAAGGAGTATTGCCAGAAATGGTGGTAACATGTGGAATTCATGGTGAGAACAGCAGTGTTCCATTATATAAAGTGAGGTCAGAGAATAGAGTGAAAAGTAGTGAAGTGGTGGTCAGAATAATACAGAAATTCTTGATTCTGGAAATACAGTTTATCCTTGGTAATAGTATAGCTGGATCTCAGGTAGGAGTGGTGCCTACTGTGGTTGAAAAGTCAGTGAAACATCCGTCTTCAACACTATAATCCCAACCAAACTATTCTCCAAACTCTGATACCTAGGGTCGCTGCTTCACCCTCTGCAACTGGATCCTCCCCTTCCTAACCCACAGATCACAGTGAAGATGGACAACAGCACTTCCTCAACGACAGTCTTCAACACCGGATACCCACAAGTATGTGTACTTACCCCCCTACTGTACTCCATGTACACTCATGGCTGTGGTCAAATTTTGTCCAAACTCCATCTACAAGTTCACTGACAACACCACCGATGTAGGCCAGATATAAAACAATGACAAGACAGAATACAGGAAAGAGATGGTGCTTGGTGGTGTTGCGTAAAGATAACAATCTCTCCCTCAACATCAGCAAAACTAAAGAACTGATCATCGACTTCAGGAAGCAAGGAAGAGCGCACGCCTCTATCTACATCAATGGAGCGGAGGTGGAGATGGTTGAGAGCATCAAGTTCCTGGCAGTGACGATCACCAGTAATCTGCCCTGGACAACCTGCACCGATGCAACTGTTGGGAAGGCACAACAACACGTTTTCTTCCTCAGGAGGCTAAAGAAATTAGGCATGTCTGTAAGGACGCTCACCAACTTTTAATTGATACACCATAGGAAGCATTCTATCTGAATGCATCACTGCTTGATACGACAACTGATCTGTCCAGGACCACAAGAAACTGCAGAAAGTCGTGAACACAGCCCAGTCCATCATACAAGCAAACTTTCCATTTGTTGACTCCATATACACTTCTCGATACCTCAGAAAGGCAACCATCAAAGATTCTTCTTACTCCGGTTATAATCCTTTCCAACTTCTTCTGTCAGGCAGAAGATATAAAAGCTTAAGCACACATATCAACAGATTCAAAAACAGCTTCTTCCCCATCCGTTATTAGATTACTGACATCTCAAATTTCAAATCTAATGTTGATCTTGCTTTTTGTGCATCTTCTTTTCAGTCATAACTTTGTATTCCTTGTTCAATCACACTATGATCGCTGTATGTTATGATCTGTCTGTACTGCATACAAAACAAAACTTTTCACTGTACTTAGGTATTTGTGACAATAATAAATCAAAACACATCAAAGAATATCCTGGAATTTTTCCTGACTGTGTAGTAACAACGTCACAAAGGTTGAAGGAGGAGGAGAACTCAAGGAATAAAGATAGGAAGTTGAAGTTCAATTATAAGAAACCATGTTTAATTAAATTGTAGAGAGAAAGCAAAAACAGGTGGAAGCAAAAGAGAATATTTTCAGTTCAGAGAAATTAGCTGAATTACAACACAAAGATGAAAAACTAAAGCAGTTCTATCAAAAAGCTTACAGAGAAAAAGAATCCGAGTGTATCTCAGAACATAACTGTCTTAAAAATGAAATTTTGATGAGGAAATGGATACCATACATATTCAGGCAGATGAAAAATAGACAGAGGTTCGTCAAGTTGTATTACTGAATGGAAAGGTGGTGTTGCAGATAACAGATGAATTACCAGTAGAGATCATTTCGGAGTACGGAAAACTCAAGCCAAAATACAAAAACAGTTTTATTGGCCAGGACTGCATAAGATGTGGTTGAATTTTGCCAGGCATGCCATAGGTCTCAGGTAAGTAGTAAACCTCAGGCAGTAATAAAACCAACACTCTTAATACGCGTTCGCACATTTGAGGAACGTTTTACAAGAATCCTAATTGATTGCATAAGTCCACTACCTAAAACAATAAGTGGGAATCAGTATTTGTTGACTGTAACAGATATGTCTATTAAATTTCCACAGACTAACAGAGGATGCTGAGACTTCGCTGAGCATTCTGGAAGAAGTCAACACAATCACCATGATCAATCAGTGGAATGAGGAAGAACTCAGCGTCAAGGAATGGTATGCCCCAAACATTACATTACTGTAGTGTTTCCATCCTTCCTTCCTCATCTAACGAAACAAAAAGGAGTCATTAAGAAGTTTGTTGTAGCTTGGCGTGCTTGTAAAGATTGCACTGTAATTTAAGTGACCAGTCAGTGCAGCTAGTTGGTATAGTGCGTTCTTAGGAGAACACTGGGCTTTACTGAGTAAGGCTGGGAAGGTAAAATTCTTTTATCATTCGTAGTGCAAAGGGCAGAGATGTAAGTTAGTCGACAGTGGTGTGTTCCTCCTGCCAGATGTGGGAGATCAGGGAACAGTCTAGTATCCCTGATGACTATGTCTGCAGGGAGTGTGACCAGCTGCAGCTCTTGTTTGGTTGGAGCAGCAGGTGAACACGCCAAGGATTGTACGGCGGGCAGAGTGTGTGATAGTCACCAGTTACAGGGAGGTGGTCATACAGGAGGTAGTGCAGGAGTCTCCTGTGGCTATTCCCCTCTCTAACAGGTCTACTGTTTTGGATACTGTCTGGGGAATGGGGGCTTTGTCTCTTGGGGGAATATAACAGCAGTAGCCAGGCCTGTGGCACCATTACTGGCTCTGCTGTAGAGCAGGTTCAGACAATCCAAGTCAGCGACAGTGATCGGAGACTCGTTATTTAGGGGCACAGACAGGCGTTTCTATGGCTGCGTCCGAGACTCCAGGATAGCATGTTGCCTCCCTGTTGCCAGGGTCAAAGACATCTCTGAGCGGTTGCATGAAACTCCTAAGGGGGAGGGTGAACAGCCAGAGGTTGTGCTGCACATTAGTACCAGCGACA